TCAGCCTCAGAGGATGGCAATGGCAAACCTCCTCTGAAGAAACTTGCTCTCTTGTAATAACTATACAACACATTATACATAATACAAAATACAAGACATGATCGTGTATTTTGTGCATATGGGTTGGCCCAGTAAAGGTTTCGGTGTTTAGTGGATTTTGGATGCCATTGTACTTTTCTGTATAATAACTATATTATGTATAATTGGATGTACTGTATAGTTATTATACAGTTATTGTACTTTGGATGTCATTTTACTTTGCTCTTTGCATTTTACTTTATTTGACCATATAGATTCTATAACAACTATGCGTACAGCGAAGTATAATGACATCCAAAATCCACAAAAACAGAGATACCTTCATGGGGCGGGAATTCTACAGTTTTGTGCATTTCAGTATTCTATAATTCCCAGAATTGCCTACCATTGAGCCATGACAGTTAAAGCAGTGTCAAACTGGATTACTCCTGCAGTGCGGATGCAACTATAGGGCCTCTGCAGACTGCCAGAAATAATACAGCTTGAGTCCACTTTACCTGCCCTGGCTCAGTGCTAAGGAATCATGGGAACTCTCTGACAGAGAAGGCTCAATGTCACAGAAAAAACTACAATTCCCATGATTCCCTATCACTGAGCCAGGACAGTTAAAGTGGCCTCAAGCTGGATTATTTCTAGCAGTCTGTTCAGGCCCTAAGGGAGAAGGGTGCCAAGGTGACGAGATGTCCTAACCTCAAAGGAGGACAAGGCACCACAAATGGAGGACATTCGAGGAAAATGGAGGGCATGCTTAAATAAAAGCTCAGAATACCCAAAGAAATATAAATTCTTGCTTCTTAAGTCATGCCCCGAATGGAGGACGTTTTGGAATGCCTCCTAGACAGAAGGCTGAAGTGTAGGACGTGTCCTGGAAAAGGAGGACGTCTGGTCACCCTGCCGGTCTATAACCGGCACAAAGGAGAGCCGTGGCATCAGTGGGCCCGCCATTTTTGGACCCCCAGATTCCCTCATTTCTGTGCCCCCTGCTCTGGGCGTTTACAAGGGGAAAGGGAGAGGAACCTAGGGCCTTAGTGGTGTAGTGGTTTGAGGGCTGGACTATCACTCTGGAGACCAGGGTTCGAATCCCCTCTCAGCCATGGAAACCCATCAGGTGGCCTTGGGCAAGTCACGCTATCTCAGCCTCAGAGGGTGGCAGAGGCAAATCCCTACTGGACAAAACCTGGTCCAGAAAATCCCATGATAAGGTTCGCCTTTGCTGTTGTAGCGTACCTTCAAGTCATTCCTGACTTCGAGTGATCCTAAGGCGAACCTATCATGGGGTTTTCTTGGCAAAGTTTATTCAAAGGGGGGTTGCCATGGCCTTCCTCTGAGGCTGAGAGAGTGTAATTTGTCCAGGAGAAAACCCTTCTGAACAAACCTGGCCCAGAAAATCCCATGATAGGTTCGTCTTAGGATCACCCTAAATCAGAAAGATACACAACAACAACAAAGGTTCGCGATTTCCTCTGAGGCTGTGAGAGAGTGTGACTTGCCCAGGGGCAAACCCTTCTGAACAAACCTGGCTCTGATAATCCCATGATAGGTTCGCCTTTGTTGTTGTTGTGTATCTTTCTGGCTTTGATCCTAACCCCTATCATGGGGTTTTCTTGGCAAACTTTCATCAGAGGGTGGGTGCCATTGATTTCCTCTGAGGCTGAGAGAGTGTGGCTTGCCCAAGGCCACCCAGTCGCTTTCATCTCCGAGTGGGGATCCGAACCCAGAAGCCTCTGGAAGGCCCCATTATATTATATCACAACAGGAGATAACCGAATTTTTAATGGAGGGGAAGATGGCTGCGCATCCTATTACCACAAAAGCACAAGGGTTTTTACACAAACACTCCCTCTCCCTCACAGGCACTAAAGGTTTCCGTTTTCCTCAGAGCACAGGTGCTAACAATATGGTGTGTAAATACTCTCAAAAAAGGACCCAAAACGCTCACACCTAACCTACAAGGGATTGCATTCCCCCCCTTCTTCTCATAGGAGGGTTGCAGACTGCCAGAAATAGTGCAAATTGAGTCCACTTTTAGGGTTAGTGTTAGGGAATCATGGGAACTGTAGTTTATTGTGGCACCAGAGCTCTCTGACAGAGAAGGCTCAATGTCTCAGAAAAAGAAAACCAATTCCCATGATTCCCTAGCACTAACCCTAACCCTTAAAGTGGACTCAATTTGCACTATTTCTGGCAGTCTGCAACCCCCCATAATCTCTTTATTTGACATGCCCTTCTACTTTAAATAAACTGGGCAATAAAGAAAAATCCAGTAACCCCATTCTGCCCCATCATGAGAGCCAGTATGGGGTAGTGGTTTGCGTGTTGGACTACGACTCTGGAGAGCCAAGTTCGAATCCTGGCTGGGCTAGGTAAACCCACTGGGGGGGGGACTCTGGGCAAGTCACACTCTCTCAGCCTCAGAGGAGGGCAGTGGCAAACCCCCTCTGGAGAAACTTGCCACGATAGGTTGACTTTAGGATCGCATAAGTCGGAAACGACTGGAAGGTCTATACAGGGGTAGGCCACCTTTTCCCTTTAAGGGCCGAGGGACTTCAGCTCCCAGAAGCCTCAGCCATGTTGGCCAATAGTCCCATGTTGGCCAATAGCTCCTGGGATGCTGGGAGCTGAAGTCCCTCGGCCCTTAAAGGGGAAAGGTTGCCTACCCCGGTCTACAACAAGAACAAATTCTGTGTTAGATTTCTCTGGGTTATTTTTTTTTTAATCGACATTGTACTTGTTTTTGAAAAATGCATTTTAATATCCAGGGTTTCAAGCAATGCATTCTGTTATAAACCTGTTTGCTTCCTTCTGGTTGAAGGTCTGTCTGTCCTAAACAGGACAGGAGCCCTTGAAGGGGAAAAACGACAACCATCTCCAGTTTCCACGAAAGTTTGCCATTGGCTCCAGGTCCAGCTCGCCTAAAAAGAGCTGAAAACCTGGCAAGTTGTTCCCTTTCTCTCCTCTTTCGGGACCCAAGGCAGCATTTGCTTTCTTCATCTTGTTGCTGTTGTGTGCCTTCCAGTCGTTTCCGACTTAGGGCGACCCTAAGGAGAACCTATCATGGGATTTTCTTGGCAGATTTTGTTCAGAAGGAGGTTGCCATTGCCATCCCCTGAGTCTGAGAGAGTGTGATTTTCCCGTCTGAGAGTAATGCTCAGCCGTACTTTGTCTAGGGGTAGGAGAGAGAGAATAAACTAAGGGCTTTTGCTTTGCTTTTCACCTTTAAAACGCCTCCTGATGACCTGTTAGGACTACCGGCAGAACTTTATTTTATTTTATTTTATTTTACTTTACTTGGCACGAAGTTTGGTAACACGCCATCACAACAAGAGACCCCCGGAAATAAGACAAAATTAGAAACCTGGAGAGAGTGTGCCTGCATTTTTAATCTCTTTAAATTCATGACATCCAAACTTGCCACTCTCTAACCGCGACGTGATTGTCGCGGTGTATAAGATGTACCCAGACTGCTGAATTAAAGCAGTTTGACACCACTTTCACTGCCACTACCCTGACCTACAAAATGCTCTCTGCCAGACCAGGCTGACTACCGCATCAAACTACAGATCCCAGGATTCTATAGGACAGAGTCGTGGCAGTGAAAGTGGTGTCAAACTGCTTTAATTCTGCAGTGCGGTGACACGGATAGTCCTCTATTTTCGAATTAATCTATTCGGAATAAAAACAAACAAACCATCGGCCCATCCTCCAGAGTTTTGGGGTATCACCTCTGCAGCCCTGAAAATGCACTTTGCAAGAGCATGTGCAAAGGCCCCAGTGTGCAATGCATGGCACTGTGCCCCATGTGCAAAGCACCCACGGATGCCCTCTTACCACCTGAGAGGCTGCTACTCAGGCCATCTCCCAGTTTAAGGACACCTCAGAAGTACATGGTTTATGGATTTCCAAATCCTTCTAGGACTGCAGCTTTACCTGGCAAACCCAGTAGAAATAAACGAAACCAAATAAATGTACCCGTGATTTGTACACTATCTGGTTCCTATCTGTGTATAGGTATAGATCTATACCAGGGGTAGGCAGCCTTTCCCCTTTAAGGGCCGAGGGACTTCAGCTCCCAGAATCCCAGGAGCTATTGGCCAACATGGGACTATTGGCCAACATGGCTGAGGCTTCTGGGAGCTGAAGTCCCTCGGCCCTTAAAGGGGAAAAGTTGCCTACCCCTGATCTATACGCATTATACAAAAAGAACTGAGCTAATCGGGAAAGTAACCCACCAAACTACACATCACCTGCTTATTTACTTTGCAATGAGGACACTCCGAACTCATTACAATGGACGCCATGGGTCAAAATACAAAATTCTCTAGGACTAGAACACAACTGTTTTTAGCCAGCCTGAGCATTAATTTTGCTATCTGCTCCCATCATTGAAATAACTTGCAGGTTTCATTTGCATGCTGCAAAGGTAAAATACACGCACAAACACACACACACACAACACCAACGTCTCCCAAAAGAACCTACACCTGTATTTTCCAGCATACAGGTAAATGTATTGTTCATCAGCTCAGCGCAAATAGGAAATAAGAGCTGAGCACTACAAAATATTATCATCTGCGGACTTGGACGCCCTTCAAACTCTTATTATTATTATTATTATTATTATTTATATCCCGCTTATTGAAAGAGACAATCCAACCCAGGGAGGCACAAATGTTCACAAAGAAAGTGTGATCTACTGTGTTTAGGACTCCGCAGTCAGGTGTGTGTGTGTGTGTGTCTTCAAGTTGCCTTGTGGTGGCCCCCTGATTTTCATAGGGTTTTCTTAGGCAAGGAAGACTCAGAGGTGGTTCTGCCAGTTCCTTCCTCTGAAATATAGCTGAGGGCACCTGGAATTCATGGGCGGTCTCCCATCCAAGAACTAACAACAGTCTTTGTTGTTGTTGTGTGCCTTCAAATCCTTTCCGACTTATATGTCGACCCCTATCATGGGGTTTTCTTGGACAGATTTGTTCATTTGTCCTTGCCTTCCCATGAGGCTGAGAGAGTGTGACTTACCCAATGGGTCACCCAATGGGTTTGTACGGCTGAGCCGGGATTCGAACCCTGCTCTCCAGAGTCCTAGCTGGCAATCTACTACACCACGCCGACTTCACTTATAGTCTTTCTTGCTGTGTGCCTTCAAGTAGTTTCGGATTTATGGCGACCCTAAGGCAACCCTATCGCGGGGTTTTCTTGGCCAGATTTGTTCAGAGGTTTGCCCTTGCCTTCCCATGAGGCTGAGAGAGTGTGACTTACCCAATGGCTCACCCAATGGGTTTGTATGGCCGAGCTGGGATTCGAACCCTGTTCTCCAGAACCTTTGTAGCTCCAAAATGATGGAGCTCCAAAATTATGTAGCTCCAAAGTTTATGCAAACTTATGCACACTTTATTAGAAG